GCTATACTCTTAAATATGAAACCACAAAATATTGACAAACTACCATTGCCAGAGCGTTTAAAGAATTTCCTTAAAGGTCAAGATTAATTAGTAATTATAATATAAATTTAATAAATTAACAAACAAGCAAACAATAAGAACTAACAACTAACACAAAACAAAAGCAAATACATTTGTATTACTAACACAAACAAAAAACAACAACAATGCAAAATAACTATTATAATGTTAGAAACAAAAAAACAAATTCTTTATGATACTGGGTATAAACATGAAATTATAAATTTCCTTATTATTTGAAAAAGTAAATAATTTTTTTTTATATACACCAACAGTCCTATATTATAATAAGAACTCTTTTTGTTCCCTTCCTTCCTATTCTATACTTAAAAATATATATATTCTCAATACTTATTATTATTAATTCGCACAAACAAAAAAAACTATTCTAAAAATAATTATCTTAAGGTTTAATTTTATATACAGAAAAGAAAAAACACCAACAACAACATACAGCAAGAGCCAAGCATTTGTATAATCACAATTGAAAATTTGTATATAACTATTTTCTTTGTTTTAAATATTATTTTATAAATTAAAATAATTTCACATACATACACACACAAACATGAAATGAAATAAAATATATATGAGTGTTTATTTTTTGCTTATAAAATGAGAAACCATTTGAAGAAAGGGAAGAAATCGGATTTTGAAGTTTCATCTGGGAGGAATTTTTGAGAATAATTTAGAAATTCAAATTTCCAAGGAAGCTTCTTAGAACAGAAGGAAATAATGAAAAGCACATGGTATAAATGATATATCATTATTTTCGAATTAAATTTTCCTTGATAAACATTTGGAGTATTAATTACTGAATATTCTATGATGAGGTTCCTCTTGTAACAGAAAATCTCAATGGTATAATCTAATCATCTATTAGGTCTTCATTTAGTCTCTTTTTGTTTCAATTTTATTTTCCACAAATAATGTTAATGCAAAGATTGCGTGTGTTAGCTAAGCAAAATGGCTTTGAATTAATTAGAAAAATAATGCAAAGAAATAAAAACAATTGAAAATCAAAGTGTTACAACAATGTGGCGGCAGGCAAGCAGACGAGATAGACTGGCCAGACATAATTCCAACAATCATTGTTTTGTTATAGACCATTAACTTATATACAAACAGTCAACACCATTTCTTGATGATGAGTGCGCACTGTTTAGAAAAAAAATAAATAAAAAATCAAATTTGCAAAAGAACAACAAACAAATGTTACCTTAATTAATAAGAAAATTTATAATGCATAAAAAAATGAAAACAAAAATATATATTATCCTATTTAAAACAAAATTTTATTATAATTATTGCCAATTATATATATATATATGATGAAATGAATCTATATTATTTAGACAATCCTCTATTTGTTTTATATATTTAATGTTTTGTAAAACAAATCATTATTTTTATTTTTTCAATTAAAAAAACCTTATATATTTTAAGTTATTTCTTTTTGTACGTCTGATGTAGTTTGTAAGGCCAAAATTGTACATTCCATTAATGTTATTATTTTATATATGAATATAATTACAAAAAAAAAAAAAAATAACAACAAAAAGATGCCATTGAGGCGTGGGTTTTTTAAAAATATTTTTTTTAATAGGCATGGATTTTTCAAAATATTTCTTTAATAGGCGTGGATTTTTTCAAATTATTTTTTAAATAGGCGTGGATTTTTTTCAAAATATTTTTTTAATAGGAGTGGATTTTTTTCAAAATATTTTTTTAAATAGGCGTGGATTTTTTCAATTTTGTTTTAACAGGCGTGGATTTTTTTCAAAATATTTTTTTTAAATAGGCGTGGATTTTTTCAATTTTGTTTTAACAAAACGCCTATTTAAAAAGATTTTTTTAAATAGGCGTGGATTTTTTAAAAAGATTTTTTTAAATAGGCGTGGATTTTTTAAAAAGATTTTTTTAAATAGGCGTGGATTTTTTAAAAAGATTTTTTTAAATAGGCGTGGATTTTTTAAAAAGATTTTTTTTAGGCGTGGATTTTTTAAAAAGAATTTTTTCGAGGCGTGGTTTTTTTAAAAATATTTTTGAGGCGTGGATTTTTTAAAAAGAATTTTTTCGAGGCGTGGATTTTTAAAAAAATATTTTTTTTAGGCGTGGATTTTTTAAAAAGATTTTTTTAAATAGGCGTGGATTTTTTAAAAAGTTTTTTTTTAAATAGGCGTGGATTTTTTAAAAAGTTTTTTTTTTAAATAGGCGTGGATTTTTTAAAAATATTTTTTTAAATAGGCGTGGATTTTTTAAAAAGATTTTTTTAAATAGGCGTGGATTTTTTAAAAAGATTTTTTTAAGTAGGCGTGGATTTTTTCAATTTTTTTTAAATAAGCGTGGATTTTTTAAAAATATTTTTTTAAATAGGCGTGGATTTTTAAAAAATAATTCATTAAATAGGCGTGGATTTTTTAAAAATATTTTTTAATTTAAAAATATTTTTTTATATAGGGATGGATTTTTTAAAAATATTTTTTTAAATAGGCGTGGATTTTTTAAAAATATTTTTTTAAATAGGCGTGGATTTTTTAAAAATATTTTTTTAAATAGGCGTGGATTTTTTAAAAATATTTTTTTAAATAGGCGTGGATTTTTTAAAAATATTTTTTTTAAATAGGCGTGGATTTTTTAAAAATATTTTTTTAAATAGGCGTGGATTTTTTAAAAATATTTTTTTAAATAGGCGTGGATTTTTTAAAAATATTTTTTTAAATAGGCGTGGATTTTTTAAAAATATTTTTTTAAATAGGCGTGGATTTTTTAAAAATATTTTTTTAAATAGGCGTGGATTTTTTAAAAATATCTTTTTAAATAGGCGTGGATTTTTTAAAAATATCTTTTTAAATAGGCGTGGATTTTTTAAAAATATTTTTTTAAATAGGCGTGGATTTTTTAAAAATATTTTTTTAAATAGGCGTGGATTTTTTAAAAATATCTTTTTCAATAGGCGTGGATTTTTTAAAGAAGATTTTTTTAAATAGGCGTGGATTTTTTAAAAATATTTTTTTAAATAGGCGTGGATTTTTTAAAAATATTTTTTTAAATAGGCGTGGATTTTTTAAAAATATTTTTTTAAATAGGTGTGGATTTTTTAAAAATATTTGTTTAAATTGGCGTGGATTTTTTAAAATTATTTTTTTAAATAGGCGTGGATTTTTTAAAAATATTTTTTTAAATAGGCGTGGATTTTTTAAAAATATTTTTTTAAATAGGCGTGGATTTTTTAAAAATATTTTTTTAAATAGGCGTGGATTTTTTAAAAATATTTTTTTAAATAGGCGTGGATTTTTTAAAAATATTTTTTTAAATAGGCGTGGATTTTTTAAAAATAGGCGTGGATTTTTTAAAAATATTTTTTTAAATAGGCGTGGATTTTTTAAAAATATTTTTTTAAATAGGCGTGGATTTTTTAAAAATAGGCGTGGATTTTTTAAAAATATTTTTTAAATAGGCGTGGATTTTTTAAAAATAGGCGTGGATTTTTTAAAAATATTTTTTTTAAATAGGCGTGGATTTTTTAAAAATAGGCGTGGATTTTTTAAAAATATTTTTTTAAATAGGCGTGGATTTTTTAAAAATAGGCGTGGATTTTTTAAAAATATTTTTTTAAATAGGCGTGGATTTTTTAAAAATATTTTTTTAAATAGGCGTGGATTTTTTAAAAATAGGCGTGGATTTTTTAAAAATATTTTTTTACTATAGGCGTGGATTTTTTAAAAATATTTTTTTTAAATAGGCGTGGATTTTTTAAAAATAGGCGTGGATTTTTTAAAAATATTTTTTTAAATAGGCGTGGATTTTTTAAAAATAGGCGTGGATTTTTTAAAAATATTTTTTTAAATAGGCGTGGATTTTTTAAAAATATTTTTTTAAATAGGCGTGGATTTTTTAAAAATATTTTTTTAAATAGGCGTGGATTTTTTAAAAATATTTTTTTAAATTGGCGTGGATTTTTTTAAATAGGCGTGGATTTTTTAAAAATAGGCGTGGATTTTTTAAAAATATTTTTTTAAATAGGCGTGGATTTTTTAAAAATATTTTTTTAAATAGGCGTGGATTTTTTAAAAATATTTTTTTTAAATAGGCGTGGATTTTTTAAAAATAGGCGTGTATTTTTTAAAAATAGGCGTGGATTTTTTAAAAATAGGCGTGTATTTTTTAAAAATAGGCGTGGATTTTTTAAAAATAGGCGTGGATTTTTTAAAAATAGGCGTGGATTTTTTAAAAATAGGCGTGGATTTTTTTAAAAATAGGCGTGGATTTTTTAAAAATAGGCGTGGATTTTTTAAAAATAGGCGTGGATTTTTTAAATATATTTTTTTAAATAGGCGTGGATTTTTTAAAAATATTTTTTTAAATAGGCGTGGATTTTTTAAAAATATTTTTTTAAATAGGCGTGGATTTTTTAAAAATATTTTTTTAAATAGGCGTGGATTTTTTAAAAACATCTTTAAAATATTTTTTATTACCAAAAATTGGTTTAAATATTTTTTATTACCAAAAATTGGTTTAAATATTTATTATTACCAAACGTTTTTTAAATATTTTTTTTACCAAACATATTTTTATTACCAAGTCGTTTTCTATTTCCCAAAAATTGTCGCAAATTTGATTGAATATTTTTAATTATCAAACAATTTTAAACTTCCAAACATGATTCTAATTTTTTTTTATTATTTTAGTGTGAATTATTATGTGGGTGTGTGTCTACTATAAAATAAACAACATTTTTTTTGTTTTGTTTTAACAATCTACCTATAATAAAATAGGTATTTATTTTATTTTTCACTTTCTTCGTTTTTTCATTTTACTTAATAATGTTTAAAAAAAATAAAATCTATTTTTTATTATTTATAATAAACACAAAAAAATGGTTATACTTCTAAAAATTGTTTATCAAATTGTAATATTAATAATTGTTTTTAATATTTTTACTTTTTATTATTTTTCAATTTACCCACTTGTTTTGATTTCTGTTTGAGTTTATTTTGTTTAATGGGTTTACCTTCGAGCAGGGTGGGTGAGGAAGTCAGATCGGCATCATTTTTCGGTGTTTTGTTTTTCTTTTGGGGTGGTGTAGAAGCTTCGGCCGATTTCTTTTGTTCCTTTTGAGGTGGTTTAGCTGGAGCTGTTGGTTGTGGCTGTTTTTGTTTCTCCTGTTTATTCTTTTTAGTTTGTTGGGGTTTTTGTTGTTGTGGTTTTTCTTCAGCTTTCTGCTCATTATTTTTCTGTTTGGATTTCTGTGGTTTCTCTGTGGACTTTTGTTTTTCAACAGGTTGTTGTTTCTTTACTTCAACGGGTTGTGATGATTTTTTCACTTCGACAGTTTCCTGGGATTGTTGTTTATTTTTCTTCTTATTCTTTTGGGGCTTCTCTTCGGGAGTCTCTTTCTCCTCAACTGTGGTCTTAGAATCGACCTTTTTATTTTCCACATTTTTCTTTTCGTTTTTATTATTTTCCTTCTTATCCTTGACCTCTCCATTTGTTTTTGTCTTATCCTCAGCGGGGGCATCCTTTTTCTTTTTGGGTACCTTTACCGGTGGTTCAAATACCTTGGCAATATATTTCTGTTTGCTTTGTTCCAATTTTTGTTTCTTAATGGTCAAATCCAATTCGCTGAGTACAGGTTTACCGGCACGTTTACCCAATTTTTTGCCCTTGGTCAATTCCTCACCATCAGCGGCTCCTTCCTCACCATCCTCGGCATTGAGAAGTTCAACCTTTTCTTCGTCAGCTGTGGCTATACCCTCGTCCAATTGCTTCTCATCCTCCTCTTGCTGTTCCTTACTCACCGGTATGGTATTGGAGAATTTCTTCAGTTTAGCCACAAAGAAACCATCCATATTATGGGTGTGGGGATAATAACGCCTGGTCAAATTTAAGGATGGATGGAATCTGTATTGGCGATATTTGGTGAAACCCTCAACGCCAAAATCAAGGCCAGTTGGTACCAATTTAACATTACGTTTCTTCAGCACATAATCGATGACCCATTCATTTTCTTCCGGCAACACCGAACAGGTGGAATAGACAATGTAGCCACCTGTAGCAGACTTGGCATCGGTACAATCGATGGCCGTTAGCAAAAGTTTACGTTGCAAGTTGTAACATCTCTGGACATCAACGGGACATTTGGTTGTCTTGACACTGGGATCTTTGGAAACAACACCAGTACCAGTACAGGGAGCATCCAATAGAATTCTATCGAAACCGGTCATAATTTGTCTAAACTTAGCACCATCTTCGCAGGACACAATGGAGTTGACCACACCCAAACGATGGAAATTGGCAACAACGGCCTTAATACGATCCTTGTTGGCATCATTGGCAAACAACACACCGGTATTCTTCATGACAGCAGCAATATGGGAACCCTTGCCACCTGGCGCAGAACACATATCCAAAATTCTTTCATTTTCTTGGGGAGCCAAGGCCATAACAGGCAGCATAGAAGAGGCACCTTGGATCATATAATGACCAGCCAAATATTCTGGGGTGGCACCCAAGGGTACTTGGGAACTGTAGATAACCAAACCAACCTTGGTCCATTTTCCCAAGGGATCTAAATTAACACCACGATTAATTAGGGCAGCAGCTAAGTCCCTTCTTCTGGTCTTCAAGGTATTGGTGCGTATAGTCAGAGGTCTAGCCACTTCTGAGGCTTCCAAATACTCCATAAGTTCGCTCAATGGGAACATGTCCATTAGTTTGCCCATAAGGAATTCATTGTAACTGTAGTAGACACACAAATCCTTGCGCAACAGGTCCATATAATCACTTCTGGGCCTGTCAGGTTGGCGATACTTATTGAAATCGGACAATACCAGTGTCACATCCTTGATGCGTTGTTGAATTTCCTGCAAAGTGATTTCTTTTTCTTCATCCTCTTCGGGGAATTGGAATATCTCTTGTTGATCAACGGACATTTGCATTTCCTCGGCAGCCAATTTGGCTTCTTTGGCTTCACGTTTTTTCAATTTCTTATTTTGTTTTTCAATGGGCAGTAGGTCTTCATCATCATCGTCCTCATCATCATCTTCGTCGTCTTCATCATCATCCTCATCACCAGAAACATCAAAATCATCATCAGAATTTGCCTCATCATCATCATCTGATAAATCATCCAATTTTCCCAATTTAATCTTGGCGTCATCGTCCTCAGATTCCTCTTCATCTTCCTCCTCCTCACCATCTTCTTCGTCATCATCGTCTTCCTCCTCTTCATCTTCGACTTCTTCATCATCATCAGCATCACTAGCGTCAACTTCATCATCCTCTTGTTCCTCATCACCATCTTGTTCCTCATCATCACTCTCCTCCTCTTCAACTTCCTCGGCTTCTTCTTCAATGAATTGTTTGCCAGCCTTCTTCTGTTTGGGCTTTAACCATTCTTGGTTATCATCTGTAAAACCTTTAGTTTTCTTTTGCTTGGCTTTGTTATTCTTGGCCACCACTTGTTGTTTCTCCTCCTCAGATTCCACTTCACTTTCCACCTCCATCTTGCCATTACCATTTAGATGTTCCTTCTCTTCCTCTTCATCACTGTCACTGTGATATTCTTTTTGTTTCCTTTGCTGGAATTTCTTTTCCTTGGCCAATTTTTGTTTCTCCTTAATGATTTGTTTACTCTTCAGTCTTTTGGCCAAGCGCTGTTTCTGGCGATGGGACAACTTTTTGTCCTCTTCCTCCATGGGAGCTGTAAGGCAAGAAATCGAAATTCTAGAAATGTGACCACCAACTGTTGGCTGCAGATAAAAAACTTACCAAATGTCTTCTTGGGGAATGTGGGTGGTCCCTGTTTACGTGCCTTCCGGCCCGGTCCCTTTTTCACTTTCTCACTATATTCCGCTTTACGACCCATTATTTATTTGTGGTCTTTTCTAATAGTTTTATTTAATAAAAATTAAAATTCAATTGGAAAATCTTAAAACTGTTTAAAGCGTGTGTTAAGAAATGCACGTGGAACCGGAGAGAGCAAATCAATGAATGAAAACAACAGCGAGCAAATGTCAATTTCAGTTGACATTTCTCTCGTAATGTGATGAACATATTGGAAGCGTAAGCGTATGGCGTCAAGAGAGAATTGTATAAATTTTATAAACTTCCGTTATTTTAAATCAAAATAAAAATGTCACAATGAAATGGAATTGAATGTTTAATTAAAAAAAATACTCAAGTGAGAAACTCGTTCACTCAGCTGTCCCTGATTGGACAATCGCTGGCCTACTTAAAGATCTATTAATAATGTAAGCGAAAATCAGCCGTTTTTTCTCAAGACCGCCTAAGGGGAGCAGAGCTGAAAGCTAACGGACGGAGTTCACAGGTTGTGGGAAGCCCAATATAATTTTTGGGTAGCTGTGAATATCAAATAAACAGTCGTGGACAATCAGCGGGTGTTGGGGGAGAGTCTCTGAGGAAATGACTGAGTGACTGACGAGACGATTATGGCGCCTTCAAATATCCATTTCCAAGGTCTTAGGTTGTCACTACCTACCAAAGTGACCTCCTAACGCTGGGGTATCAAGCGACCTCGTGCCCATCAGAGTTCTACGGTGTGCAGTCGAACGGAGCCTTGTTTATACCTGGGCGCCTCAACAAGATTTTCAGGCTTAAGGCGGAAACGTATACGAGGATTCAGGTCTGCCATGTCAAGAAATATCAGAGTCAAACTAGATTTTAAACGTCATTCAGCTTTATTCTTTTACAATAAAATAAGCCATCTGAATGTGCCAAACCTGAAGTCCTCCTACCTCAATTCCTCACAAAATGTTTTTTCTATGGAGCCGAATTTTAATGCCCCCCTTCTTCTAAAAATAATAATAACAATGTGAACGTATGCGATTTTTCGACTGATGCCCGTGTGGCTGCCTTGACACCCTCAGTCTCGAACTCTACAAGACCAGAACTCACTCAATCCCCTTAAATAATAACAACCCATGCTATTCTACCGGTCCATTCTTTTGCCTCAAACCCATTATTCTCGACGACATAAACGAAAGCCTGGAGAGGCGGACCTCCTCAACCGTCTAGAGGAAACCGGTTCCTTCCACCATAGTCAGGAGAGCATCCGAATCAACTCTGGTACGACTCACCCTTGACACACGAGGTAGACGTCAAGGATACTACTGTGATTAGCACTACATTGACTAATACAATAGCTGACCTGCAAATCTCGAAACTCTTTAGGCAGCTGGCCGACGAAGTGGATGCTGCGGCCGATGAGCTTCCCATCCTAAAGATGGATGAATCATCGGAACCGGGTCACCTGAGCGCTGACTTAGGGTAAATATCTGTCGAAATCAGCCCGGAGGAGAGCCCGTAAAAAAGTTTCCAAAAAGGCTGCTAAGGCACAACCACCCCTTGTAAATCCGCCCACTGCCGAAATGCTGATATCAAAATCCAAGGTTATAACAATTGGACAGTTGTTGGTGGATAAACCAAAGGTGGCGAACATGAAGCAGATGCTAGCCACAGCTGAGTGAAAATTTGCGGTAGATTCGTCAGCTACACGAAAGACAGCTTCGCCAATGTATAAGGTAACTGTGATACTTCAGAGATGATATAAACGGAAATAAATAAAAGTAATTTTTTTTAATTACAAAAAATCGAATTTTATTATTAGACCAGAAATATTTACAGTAGCCCTCGTAGCCCGTCTTAAATTGTAATAGATTAGACGCCATAAACAGAAAACTTCTGACGTTGAACACACCAACTAAAAAGCGTATAACGTCATGTGTGTTGTGTGTCATCAATGGCATTGTATTGCATCTCACAGAATAAGAAGAAGAATCAAAACAAGTCTGTCCGAGACAGTTTCATATTGATTTTTTTAAACAATAATACCTCGTAAATTATGATTTAATTATACAGATTTTTTGTTAAAAAATAATATATAATTGGTTTATTGACTATATCGTAAATGAATAGTCTGAGAATGGAACTGATATCGTTCGATTTGAGTGTGGAGGCATTGATTGGTTCGCTGTTTGCACTGGGTGCACTTTTTGCATTTTGCCGTAGTCTGTTGATTGAGGATGTCATCTGCATTCCGGGTAAAAGTAAACATGGATGGAAATCTATAAAGATATTGGATCGGGTAGGTCCTATTTTGAAATATTATTTTTTATAATTCTTAGAATTATTATTCCTTTGTTTATTTTAAAAGAAAGGAATAATTTGCCTTTGTTTACATTCCAAACAAAAAAATATACGTGTCCCAATGTGTGCGCATATGGTATGGTATGATTAATCAGGCAATAGTACCACCTGATGGCATTAACACCTACTCATCCTTATGACATCATTTAAATGCTCCTCATATGGCATAAGCAATGTTGGCATGAGGTCACGCATAAACCAAATACAAGCTTATTTCCTGTAAACCATTCGACGCCACAAAGACCATACCTGTTCATATCACCACTTATCATGCTATCTTTGTTTTTTTTTCTCTTTCACAAATTATAGGCTTGTTATTGCAATGTTTGCGAGATACTCTTAACACCATCCGCCGGGGTCTTCTGTGATTGTTGTGGCATTTGTTCGCATGCCTCCCGGCCGTGTACACGCAAAGCCGATAAGCTATTCAAGTGCAAAGAAAAATGGATACATAATGCAAAATCTATGCGCCACTTGTGGGTCAAAGGCAACCTACCGTTGAGCGCTGTTTGCGATGAATGTGGCGAAGATGTTGAAGAAGTCGGCCTTAGCGGCTGGCGTTGTGCCTGGTGCCAAAGATGCTATCACAACAGTTGTTACAAACGTATCGATACGAAGGCGGAATGTGATTTAGGCGAATTCAGTGATATGATATTTCCACCGTATACAATTGTGGCGGCACGAACGAGGGAGTCTGTACGCTTACATTTGGCCGGTATTAATCCACCGGATATTGAAAATTGGGAACCATTAATTGTTATAGCCAATACGAAATCGGGTAGTAGTACTGGAGCGGATGTTGTGTCATTGTTGCGTGGCTATTTACATCCTTTGCAAGTAATGGAGCTGGGGTCACGAGGGCCGCAAGATGCAATGCAATGGGCGGCCAAAGCAAGTCCCAGACCGTGTCGTATTTTGGTGGCCGGTGGTGATGGTACCGTTGGATGGGTATTAAATACCATGTATACATTAAATATTAGGGTGAGTAGTCTGTTGAATTAAATGATATGGCTTTTAGATATATTCCGAAGCTGGAAACCCTTTCATAAGTCTTCTCTAAGCATTAGATGTGCTAAAAACATTCTGGGTTCAAGAACATGTTCATAAGATAATTGGAAGAAAATTAAATTAGAAGATCGTTTAAACGTTTTCTATAATAAAATAGGTCCTATAGGTATTCTAAATTTGGATATTCTAAAGAACTTTAAGATATCAATCTGAAACTGTTACTGTCTTCCATAGTCAAAAGACCATTTAGGAGATTCTATTATATACCTTTGGATATCATTTAATGCAGAAGGACTCCTTGTGCCCTTTTGAAATTTATACATTCAGCTCTTTTATATGAATTTAGAGACCTTCAGATATTTTATATGAAGAGGAAGTCCTTAGCTCTTTTATATGAAGAAGACCCTTAGCGCATCTAAAGGGAAAAGATCTTCAGCTCTCCTATATGAAAAATTAGACCTTCATCTCTTTATGTAGAAGAAGACCTTCATATCTACCTTATGAAAAAGAAGACCTTTAGCCCTTCTATATGAAGAAGATTTTCAGCTCTTCTACATGAAGATCCATTAATTTGGGTCACCAATTCGAATATGAAATTCATTCCATTTTCTTTATTAACAGCCCCTTCCCGCAGTAGCCATTATGCCATTGGGAACTGGTAATGATTTATCAAGAGTCATGGGCTGGGGAGCAGAGCCGCCCTCCACTTTGGATCCCTTGAAAATATTAAGAGATGTATGTAAACCGCCTCCTCTTTGTGTTAAATTTTATATACAAAATTCACACCTTTCCATACAGATTAAACGAGCCCGTTCCGTAAACCTCGATCGTTTTTCGCTGCAAATCGAAAAGAGTCATTATCGTCTACCCATACAAAGGCATCCAATGAAAACGATAAATGTTTATAATTATTTAAGTATAGGCGTTGACGCCTTGGTTACATATAACTTCCACAAGACCAGAGAATCCAAATTTTATGTTTTAAGTAGTCGTATTTTTAATAAGGTAAGTAATTTTAATTCATTTAAAATTTTATTAAATACTGAAGCATTTATTTTTTATTTTCAGTTAATATATTTTGGTTTTGGTACCCAACAAATTGTCCAGCGTGATTGTGAGGGTTTGGAGAAACAGCTTGATTTATTTTTGGATAATCGTTTAGTTGAACTGCCTGAGCTACAATCGATTGTGTTTCTTAACATTGATTCCTGGGGTGCTGGTTGTAAGCTGTGTGGTAAGTAGTTGTGTCTTTCTATTAAATAATTTTATCTATTAAATTTTCATTTTTATTTCAGAGCTCTGTAACAATGATGACTATGCTCCAAAAATTAACAATTCCATTTGTGATGGCGCCATGGAGGTATTTGGTATTGTTTCGTCATTTCACATAGCCCAATTGCAGTGTGGTGTTAGCAAACCTGTAAGGATTGGTCAGGCAAAGCATATCAAGGTATTTATTTATTGTGTGTTACCATTAAAAAAAATATATATATATGGAAATTCCCTTTGCTTCTAGATTGTCCTCAAAAGCGTTTGTGCCATGCAGGCCGATGGTGAACCATGGATGCAACAGCCAGCTGAATTACACATTACTTCACGTGGCCAAGTACGCATGCTGAAAAAACAGTCTTGAAGTACATAATTAAAAAAAAACAATCTACAAAAAGCATTTCTCTTTAAAAACTCCATCGCCCACCACCCATATCTTCATGAGGCCTACTGCATTATTATATTACATATGTAAAAGGGAAACCTGGGTTTAATTATAAGCATTTCTTTTCTTTATTAATTTATTAACTCTTTCTCTCTTAATCTCAAGTATATAACACCTAATATACAGTACAGGTTTTTGTTGTACTTAATTAATTCCTTCCTAAATGTCTGAGTTTCTAGTTTTTTTTAATTTATTTTACAAAGAGTTATATTTGTTGAATTCTTATTATTTTACACCTAGACAATCTGTTATAATCAATTTAATAATATATTATTGTTTACATATATATACACAAACACACACATAAACAAATAAGAGTATTTATTCATAATGTCTTTAAACAAGTTTCCAGAATCTCTAATTACCTTGCTAAGTACTTGAAAAAGATATTATCGCCACCGAGGGTTGTCAAGTGGTGTGAATGAGAAGTGTCACACCAACCAAACCTATCTGAGTGTGTGTGTCTGAATTTATTTATTTTTTATATTTTGTAGTTAGGTATGGTTTTTATTTATATATAGTTAATTTAAAAAGGGGTATCAATTATTGAATAAAATAAAAAAGTTAATAAATTGTTTTGTGTGCATATGTGAAATGAAACTTGTTGAACATTAAAATGACTCATACTGTTGTGGATTAAATAAAGAAATAATTATGTCCAATTTTTGGCGTTGTGTTTGTACATTCGAACTAGAAGGGTGTGAAAAGTACTACAATGTACTCTAAATATGGTACCCTTTGTATTAGACAAATAGTTGGAATTCTGAAAAGACTAACTAAAGGGTTTTTTGGAAATTCGACCCATAAGTATGTTTCACTTGTTTGGTGGCACTCCTTGCGCAACAAGTCGACAACCAGAAAACTCAAGTCAAAGTTAAGGTACAAAGCCCCGCCTCGGAGCCGCGAGAAGCACCCCACATACAGCTCTGAACGCAATATTGAACTTAAAGCCTCTGTGTCTCAGCATAAAATGTCAGGCAGTGCGGTGGTGCCTAAGACTGCATGACAAAATCTATGGCGAAATTGTACCTACGGACATGGATGTATCCTGAACGAACTCGGTATGACATTGGACCAACACGAACAACTAAACGAATATATATTAACAGGCCTGAGATTTGACGATATAGATGTCTTTATCCCTTGTAGAGACGACTGGAACTGGAGTAACTCTCCTCTAGACGGTCTGGCTTTCGATACAGATGGATCCAAGATGAAAGAAGGTACAGGGGCTGACGTCTACCTTGAAAGGCTAGGCATCTAATGTCGTCCTCAAGTGTAGTACATTTTTGGAAGAACTTACAGCTATCGGCTGTGTGAAAAAGCAAACGAATTAGCTAGACGAGGATCTCAATCTACGACCTAGCAATTGAGCATCATATTTCATCTGTGTGAGCATCTCCTGTGTCGCTGTCTACAAAAGGACACACTAACTGTTGAATCTGAGCGAAACTGAAATAAGAGTAATGACAGGAAAAATTACTGGTCAGTGCAATATCAGGTCTTTACCAGTAAATGGTACCATGCTGTTACTGATTCCTGAAGACACTGCGTTGACGAGGAGGAGACGAGACAATTGAACATCTCCTGTGTCACTGCCCAGTCCTGGCCTACAGGCGGCACAGACTAGGGGGTGCTCACTTTCCACCGAGTCTTAGTTTCTTCTCAACAACGGAACCTGCTCTAATCTACAGGATCATTAGAAGCCTAAAGTGGTTGGGAAAGTGCAACCTTAGCACGTAATATGTTTTTCTGTCCTTCTGTAGCCATCCAAACTATTCCCACCTTCCTCCTTAATACTTCTTTTTAGCTTCTTATTCTTTCTTTCCTCCCTCCTCTCCCTTTTCTCCCCTTGAGATCTCTTCATATCTTATGTGTACGTATAAATGCACTAAATTTGGAAAACATTGGATTTGGGTAACGGAATGTTGGAATGTGGGTCACTGGCGAAGAATTAAAAAGAAATAACATAGGGGTTTTGGTAAAGGTAGCCTTGTGTACATATATGCTAGTGCCGAATTTAACTAAAGTGCTGAATATAACTAAATGTGGAACCTATAGGTTTGTGCTATAATACACAATTGGAATTCTAATCACTTTTGAATCTGTATAAAGCAAATAAGAAAGGGATTTCGAAAATTTGTGATTATGTTTATTATCATCGAAATATTTGGAGTCGATTTACAAATGCTTGTCTGGCCGGCCGACTCAATTAGAGTAACCGATTTCATACAATACAAAGTTTGAACATCGTAATATTTCTTTCAAACTCAAATTCATTTCGAAGATGTGAAAATTGGTCCACAAGATTGTCCAAATTTAGCTGAAAATGGATTTTGTACTCATGCGAACGCACCATCCGATTTGAACCAAGCTTTGCAACACCTATTATATTTAATAAGCCTTCATGTCCGAGCCATTGGTCCATTCCTTTGTCTAAATCTGACAAAAATTGGGAGTTTGGTGCACAACAATTACTTAAAATTGGACGGAGCTGTATATGGGAGCTATATCTAAATCGGAACCGATTTTCACGAAACTTAGCACACACCATTCTAGACTCAATTCACTGCACTGTGCCAAATTTCATGCATATCGAATGATATATAGAGACTTTGATACACCACTTACATAAAATCGGAAGAAAATATATATGGAAGGTATATCTAAATCTGAACCAATTTTCACGAAACTTAGAACACATCATTCTAGACTTAATTTAGTATGCTATCGGGGCTATGGTACACTACTAACATAAAATCGAACGAAAATATATATATATGGGAGCTAAATCCAAATCTGAAGCGATTTCCACGAAACTTATCACACATCATTCTAGACTCAATTCGGTACGATATGCCAAATTTCGAGCAAATCTAAAGATATATAAAGGGACTTTGGCACACCATTTACATAAAAGCGGACGAAAACGATTTGTTACAATTTCAATAGGGGTTTCATCCAATTCAAATTATAAATGCGATCTGTACTTTGTTTACAATTTAACATGGACAGACAGACTGACGAACGGACCGATGGACATGCATAAATCGACTCAGAAAGTGATTCTATGCATTTTCTCAAAAGGAACCATGGGTCTATCTCGTTTCCTTTTGCCTGTAGCAAACATGTGCATAAAGGCATAAAACTCACAGTGTGGTGAAGGGTATACAAAAATGACTAATATTTAGTCAGTTTGAATAACATCTGATAATAGAAATAGCAAACTCTGTTAATTCCTGTTAGGTCCCATAGCTTTCGAAGTACCGTCTAGCTATGGAGACCGTCTAGCTATAAAGATCTCAAAAAGACATATTGTCCATAAGTGGTCACTGTGTAATCATGTGGATATACCTACTTCAATTTGTATTCTGTCTTTATAAAAGCCGTAGGTCTCCAATTCAATACATAAATCACAAAAAGCTTCCCGATTCATAGAGCCTTTCCTATTCTGACAGAGATGATATTCCACATCAATAGGTATTTCTATAAATCTATAATTTAATTTGTATAAATATAGCAATTAAATACATACCAACAACTATTTTGGAATCCGATCACACACACACACACAGATCACCATAAATGGCAAGATTCTATAAATGACTCACACACCATCACATGTTATGTTTGTTGATAAAGGTGACACCAGCTGAGACCAATGTGTAGTTTGTTTTTCCCCCACCACCATATCCCCTTTAATTGAAAATCAATTTAATTGGTATTTTGTATAGTTTTGAATTTTCTCATTTTTTGTTTTTTTATTATTTAAGAAATAAAAAAAATAACATACATTTCCATTTTGTTGTATCTAAAATTTTACACAATTTGGTAAAATTTCAAATATAAAAACTAAATACCAAAAAAAATGTTTTTGTTTTCTTGTTGTAGTGTTCCACTGAGACTAAGGTAAACAAACTTCACCTCATGCGGAAGTGAGGTTGGTTACACCACCACACTACAGATAAAAGGAAAATTTAACCTTAAATAAGGTTTCTTTTTTGTTTGTTGGTTTAATTTTAACGATCAACGATAATTGTGGTTGTTGTTGAGGTTTCCTTAAAACAAAAATTATCTTTTCCGAAGAAAAACAAAATAATGCTAAATTAATGCGGCGAACGAAGAAGTCTGAATAAAATTACTTTTTTGTAAAATGTATTTACTTGTTGTTGTTGTAGTTTTTTCTTTAGATAATAGTAGTAATAAATGTGATTACTTGTGGTTGTTGTTTTTTTGCTGAGGCGGGTATGAAACTTAAAATGCAGGCCATGAATCTCTACCATCATTATGAATAAGGCGAGTTTATTCATGTTATGGGGGGGATTGTGAACGGCACTCGCAGCAATTTAAAGCATCGTCAGCTCCATAATGGCATTGACTATATCATTGTTGTTGTTCTTGAGAGCCTTAATAGCCTTAGCGCGGGTGGTGTTGGCTTGATTGATAACCAATTCAATATCCTTCTCATCAACGCCAGTCTCATCGACTTCCTCTTCGTCTTCTTCGGCAATGGGTGCAACCGAGGAGGTGGTGCCAATGGTATCGGCAGCGCTGGCACCTTCGGGGGCCTTGAATTTCTCGGCGGCAGCCACTTGGGCTTGTTGTGACAAATCTTCGATCTTGGCTTCGCCGAAGACAATGTAGGTATCACTGTGGGGGTTCTTGTAGACATCGGGGTTGTTGATGACGAACAAGATGTTCTTGGATTTGCGGATGGTGACACGGTTGACACCTTGGATTTGTTTCAAGCCCAATTTCAACATGATTTTGCGGGCCTTCTTTTCGCCGCGCGATTGCTTAGCCTTGGAGACCAAGTCAATGGGCAAACCGGTGGCACCACCGCCCAATTGGGTGGCTCCAGCACCGGCATCCTCCAACTCGGGAATGGTATCCTCGGAGTCGCTGTCACTGCCATCATCTTCTACACGGACATCCTGTACGGGCTTGGCCTCAGCAGCTGGAGCGGTAGAGGTAGTGGGAGCATCAGACTTGATTTCAGTAAGTTCTGGCATTTTTAGGCTGGACTATAAATAGAAACAAGAACAACACAAAGACATTCAATTAGATTTGATTTCAAACAAAATGTTTTCAATATTATCTGCTACACTTTTCATCACTCATTTCATAATCTATTCCATAATCACCAACCGGCATTTAACCCTTAACACTTGAACTGGTTATTCATTCAGACTTTTTTGCACCATCATATTTGACAGTAGGGGGTCAAATTTCAACACTTTGTTTTGATCCATCTTTTGTGGATTTGGCAACACATTTCTGATCTTAATTTTTAGATCTTTTCATTTTTCTTCGGCCCCTCTCTAGTTTTTTGTTGGATTTTTCACATTTTCTAAGTAGATGTTTTAGAAAATCATCGATTTTTTACCTGCGAAAAAAATTCACCCTGCGCGAAGAATTCACAAATTTGACAAAAAGAATTTTATTATTGTTAGGTTGGCAGACCTGCTTTTTGATTGCAGCTGTCACTGCGACACAACAGCGACATCTGCATGTGGTGTTACGTTGAAATACAACAGTGTTGTATTATTTTAATCTCCTGTATGACCAAAATAATGTGTTAATAACGGAAATTCAAAAATAAATATACGAGCATGTTCTGGCAGTCACTTTAACATTAGAATTGTATAGAACTCGTGCCGAGCTGTTCTGTAACACACTTTATACCCGTTTCAAGTGAATTCCTTACACATACATTTTAATAGTGAGAGTCGAGTGTATTCATGTTTTTCTATATAAAAGAATATTTTTTTTTTTTTTTGAAATAAAAAAGACACATGATGATAGATTGATATGTTAATATTGCATATAATTTGATTAAAATCACAAAATTAAAAAGAAACGCCATCAAAACCCAATTTTAAATATATACTAAGGTTTGTGTTGCATTTTCTTCAACTGAATTGCTAGCTTGACATAAACAGCTGATTTGAAGTAAGGCCGAAGAAGATAGGGTTACCAAATGTTCCCCTTAAATCAATCGACAAATTAATGATATTACAGAGTCTTTTATACATATACTAGCAAACGGGCCGCTACTTCGTAAGCGGAAAGGGAATACAAAAAAAAAAAAAAATGATGACTTGATCATAACCAGTGCGGACAAAGGTGGGAAAACAGTAGCCATGTACAAAAATGAATACCAAACAAAAATGGGAGCAATTTTGGGAGATATATGCACATACCGACGCTTAAAAAGAGATCCGACGAATATATTACAAAACAAAAACAATTCTCTGGTGGAAAAATTATTTAAATTAAAGATAATTAATGAAACTGAAAAATATAAAATGACGAATAAGACATCAACTGCGCCAAGATTTTATGGGTTACCCAAAACTCACAAGGATGGTACCCATTTGAGACCCATATGCTCCACAATTAACTCCCCAGCTATCGATCTTTGTAAATATATGGTAAACATATTGAAGAACCTGACAAAGAATTCGCAATATAACGTAAAAAAAAGACGCAAAAGATTTTAAAACAAGAATTGAGCACATAAAGATCAACCCCGACGAAATCTTAATTTCATTTGACGTTGTATCACTTTTCCCTAGCATACCAGTAAATTTTGCTCTCAACACCATAGAAGATAAGTGGGATACAATTAAAACATATACATCTATGACAAAAGAATAGTTCATGGAAATTCAGACGCTATGTATAAAGGACACAAGATATTTCATATATGATGACAAAATATTTAAACAAAATAAAGGTATGCCTATGGGCTCTCCTCCCCTGTCATAGCTGACATAGTTATGGAGAAATTACTGGACTCATCAATACAGCGAATGTACACAAAACCAAAGATTTTGACCAAATATGTGGACGACATTTTTACAGTCATGAAAAAAGACGAAATAAAGGACAATTTGGACATCTTGAACTCATTCAACTCTCAAATACAATTTACTATGGAACTTGAAAGCAACAACCAATTGCCATATCTGGATTCACTAGTGATACGAATAGGACCTCATCTTAAACTTGACCGGTACCAGAAACCTACAGCGTCGGGACGACTGATTAACTTTACATCTAGACATCCGAGAAGAACAATAATCAACACCGCATCCAATTTCATAAATAGAGTTTTAGACATAAGCCATCCAGACTATCACAACAAAAACATTAATATAATTAAGAAGATCCTGAAGAAAAATGATTTTCCGGATAAAACTATTGACAATCTCATGATACGAGCAAGAAAAGAAAAGACAAAGAAAACAAGCGACAACAGCGAGAAAATTTACAAAACTATGACATATACAAGTGGATTTTCAGAAAGATTAAAACATTCTAACATTTACGACAACACAAAATTTGAGCTGGCATTTAAAACTACAAACACGTTGAATAATCTTTTCACCAAATTAGAAAGTAAAATACAAGACGAGGAGAAATCCGACGCAGTATACCGAGCAAAAAACAGCCCTTGCAGCACACTGCACAAAAACAGGACATACCCCAGATTTTAATGACATACAAATTCTAACTCAAGAAAGTAATTATCAAAAAAGGTTTACTCTTGAGATGTTGCACATAATCAACACTCCACTTGACACTCGACTCAATTATAAAACCGACACAGACAACTGCGCTCAAATCTATAGACACACAGTAAACAAATACAAATCTGTTAGACTTTAGTTGAAGTAAGAACGTTGACATAAAGACAACATAACTTTCTTCAAGTAAGTTTATTTACATATTGTTATTGTTAAAATATATGTATATGTAAATATATGTAATTGTAGATCCCTGAGGATGATTGGAGAATCCAATCGAAATATTGGAAACAATAAATATTAAAAATCAAAATTAAAAACGATTTTTACTTTTAAAAAGCCTACAGCCGAACTAATACAACAAAGATAAACAAAACTAGGCAAACGATACCAATTCAAACAAAAAAAATCATATGGAAATCGTGAATACTGTACAATTTGTTGTACTATAGTTCTGAATTCCACCTCTTTTCTTTCCTACATCTAATATCAAGTTTATTACAATTAAATACTCTTCATACACATCAGCACTATTTTCCGAAATCTCTTTCTTATTTCCATTACATAGATATTAAAAATTGATCAGAATTCCATTTAAACACTTTAGCAGAAACGTACAGGTTCCACATTCAGTTCCATTTAGAACTTTTCGAACACATAAGTACCAAATCCCATTTTTTCCAAATTCAGTGAATTTTCTATTTACTATTCATACACATAAATTCGAGTTTCCAAAGTTGTCTCCAAAGCTCAATACTACACTTCAACAGTAATCTGAATTCTAATCGTTTCAAATTTAGTACCGTTTAGTACTTTTTATACCCATAAGTAAGAATTTCTAAAACTACATCAATCCTGCACTCTAACAGTAATCTTAATTCCACCAAAGTCCAAATTGTACCAAATTTAGTTCTTTCGGTACTCATAAGTACAAATTGCTAAATGTAAATCAAATCTGCTTTTAAATAGTAATCGTAATTGCAAATTTAAGAATTTCAGCTCCGTCTGTTCATTAAACCATACCATATTTGATATCATTCTCTACATTTCGTACCCATATTCCATACCTATCTCAACATTTCAAACCTTTCAAATAGTAATCGTAAGTCCAAATTTAAGAATTCCAGTTCTATATATTCACTAAATTGTATCAGATTTGGTACCATTCTGTACTTTTCCTACACTCCCAGGTTGCAAGTTTGATGATTCGAGTTCTACCCGTTCACCATATTCCATACCTATCTCAATCTTTCAAACCTTTCAAATATTAATCGTAAGTCCAAATTTAAGAATTCCAGTTCTATATGTTCACTAAATTGTATCAGATTGGGTACCATTCTGTACTTTTCCTACCCTTGCAACTTTCATGATTTGAAATTCACCAAAACCCATGTTGCACCAAATTTAGTACCATTTATTACTTTTCATAGACGTAAGTACGAGTTTCTAAAACTGCCTCAATTCCACACTTCAACAGTATTTTTAATCATAATTTCTAGGATACCAGCCCTACCCGTTCACATAGATCTCAATTTTACCATATTTTGTACTTTCCGTACTTATGAGTTCGAATTTTCAACAATGTGTCAATTCTGTCCCATAACAGTAATTCTATTGTTCTCCATCTCTATCATTTCCCTCAAATCTAAATTGTACTAAACTTAGTACAATTTAGTACAAATAATTACGAATTTTTAAAACTATCTCCATGTCCCTTCCTACACTCTAACCTTAATTTTAATTTCAAATTTTAGGATTCCCGCTCACAGACAACGAATTGTACCATATTTAGTACCATTAATTGTCCATAAATACGAAATTCCAAAAGTACCTTCATTCTGTAATTTTCCTTCCAATCCTAAGTTTTCCATCTCTATCCGTTAACTCTAATCCAAATTGTACCAAATTTTGTACCATTTAGTACACATAACGACAATTTTTCCAAACTACAGACTTATTTCAATACTGCACTTTAATTGTAATTTTAATTCAAAATTTCAGAATCTCAGCCCTATCCGTTCACGCAAAAACAATTTGCAAACTATTTGATACCATTTAGTACTTTTCGTTACTATAATTAAGAATTTCCTAAACTACCTCAATCCTTCACTCCACAAGGAATTTTAATTCCAAAATTCTGGAGTCCAGCTCTATCCGTTCTCAAATAATCAAGTTGTACCAAATATAGTACCATATCTCAATTCTATATTTCAACAGCAATCATTATTCCAAATTTTAGGTTTCCAGCTCTCCCCGTTCACTCAAATCCTAATTGTACCAAATCTAGTTTCGTTTAGTACTTTTCGTACACATAAATACGAATTTGCAAAGATGTCTCTATAGCTCAATCTTCAACAGTAATTATAATTTCAAATTTCAGGATTTCAGCTCTATCCTTTCAAGCAAAATCCAAATTGTACTAAATTTGGTACAATATAGTACTTTTCGTACCAATAAGTAACTACCTCAATCCTACATTCAACAGTAATTTTTTTCACAATTTGAAGACTCCAGCTCTATGTGTTCACCTAAGCTCTATGTGTTCACCTACCTCAATCCTACATTCAACAGTCATTTTTTTCACAATTTGAAGACTCCAGCTCTATGTGTTCACCTAAATTCAACTTGTACATCTTTCTAACTTTTCATCACTGACCCACATTCCAAATTTCAGAATTCTAGCTCTTCGCGTTCCCCTAATACAAAGGGTACCATATTTGGTACAGTTTAGTACATTTCGTACTCTTCTAGTTCGAATTTCCAAAAACCCAGCTTATTCCAAAAACCCAGCCTACACACCAACAACAACCCACACACAAAATTTCAAGGTTCTAGCTTCAACCGTTTCGTCTGGGCGATGATCTGTCAGTCACTCACTCACTTAACACTAATGGTGTTTCTACACGATATGTATTTTACATATGTGCTGTCACTTATTTCATCCATATGTAATTCCTTATGTGTGTC